ATTGTATTGTTCTGATTTTGCTGCTTTAAAAAGTTGTTTGAGAGACCTTATTTTCAAATGAATAAAATCTCCTGACCGAGGCTTACAGAAATGTTAGTGAGGACATTTAAGGTTCTCGTATTAACATCACATTTTATTTATTTCAACTATTTTGGAACGAGCTCTTGAAATCTGTGACACCAATATGTTTAATATTGAAATAAATATGACTGACTTGGTTAAATTGATTGCAATTAAATATCTTAAAATATATTTAAAAAAAATCTTGCTGAACTAACACTACCAAAATCAGCATTTTCTCCAATTCTTAAAAATGAAAACTATTGTAAACTAAATATTTAAGATTACCAACCCTTAGGTTTATGGCTTAAATATCTAGAGAGTTTATATACTAGTAAGCTTTTACTTAATGTTTAAAAAAAATCCACAGATGCTCACTCTCCTACATTTCTAGACACCAACATAAAAAGGTTCTTCAGTCTTTTAATGTCATGGCAAAAGTTTTCAAAGATTTGGTTTGTGTGTCTGTTTGGGATCACAAAGTCTAAGTCTGTTTGCTTGGACACAAAAAATTTAAAAATCATAGCAGCATGATTATTTAAATTTTTACCTTTTTTGGAGGAAACTGTTGTTACTGTTTACCATCCTGTTTTTCTTTGACCCAGTTTGTGTCTTGAATCTCTCGTTTTACCTTGTCCCAATTTGCAGTTTGAAATAATGGGAAATTTGAATAATAACTTCTTATTGTATGTATTGAATAAACTCGTAAACAAAAATGTGTCTGTTCAAACTCATTTACCCGTTTGCTCATAGCTTCATCTAGTCGCAGTTTGTCTTCTCTACCTTCTTTCATTCTGACAAATTCCTTTTCTACAATCTGTCTCATTAACAAAAAGAGGGACTCTTTTCTCTTTAGTTTCCGTCTTTGTGAGACTGGTGACATTATCTGGCAATGCACTGTGAGCGCTGACACTTTGCTGACAAGCACTGACAGCGATGAGTGTAGCAAGGAAGCACAAGGTACTCTGTCTTAATGAGCTGCCATACAGTTTGAGCTCTCCACCTGTGATATGAGTTATCTCTCTCATGTCGTTATTCTTTCTAGGACAGATGTCATCTTTTGCCTAAAGTATCTTTGTCTTCCTTTTTGCTTTTGCCCTTTTACCAAATAAATCGTATAATGTATTTTATATAAATGTAATCGGAACACAAATATTGTTCTGGAAATAATAAATACACTAATATATTTTAAGATGGTTCAGCTTTAGAAAGTATGCTTCTTTCCAGCTAATACTTCAAAATCAGTTTTAGTGAAACAGCTCATGTCCAAGTTTTTTAAATTATTTTTATTAGTTTGGCTTTTTACTGGTGCAACATTAACATTTTGCAAGATGAGATTATGGACAACACAGTGGTGCAGTTGGTAGAGCTGTCGCTTCTTGGTGAGAAAGCCGCCCGATTGAATCCCAGCCAGGGACTTTTGTGGGTGGAGTTTACATGTTCACTCTGTGCATGCATGGGTTTTCTCCAGGTATGCTGATTTCCTCCCACAGACCACAAACATGCATGTTAGGCTGATTGGTAATTCTAAATTGGCCCTAGGTGAGAGAGTGCATGGTTGTTTGTCTCTAGGTGTCCCTGTGATGGACATGTGAACTGTCCAGGGTGTCCCCCACCTCCCACACAGTGATTGCTGGATATGGGCACCAGTGACCCCCGCAACCCAAAATGGAAGAAGCGGGTAAAGACAATGGATGGATGAAGATTGTTGGTATGTGGAGATATTTGTTTAACAAATCAATTCAACAACATAAATATTTTGTCATTTCTTTGATTGGATTTTTCTGTTAAAGATGTTTGAGACAATAAACATAACATTTTAAGTTAGAAAAGCAGAAATGCTGTAAATTCTTACAGATAGGACCAGCTTCAAGAAATACTTTATTTGGAGACTTCTGATTCTTGAACCTTTTGAAGAGTTCTACAATAAATTTAACTTTGCGATGTTAGGCTAATTGGTAACTCCAAATTGTCCCTAGGTGTGAGTGAGAGAGTGAATAGTTGTTTGTCTCGTTTGTCTTTATGTGTCCCTGTGATGGACTGGAGACACCCTGCCTCTCGCACAGTGATACCTGGACATGGGTACCAGTGAACCCTGTGACCCAAAAAGGAAGAAGTGGGTAAAAGATGATGGATGGATCCAAACCTCGAGACCTTCATAGTGGTTTATGCAAATAGTACTTTATACATCAAGCAGCATCATTTGAAGAAAAGTCATTGGGTATTTACATGGCAGCCTGTGCTGTACATTAAAGGAACATTTTCTGTGAAATGTGTGTTGTGAGACAAAATATAAGTGTACCCAACAGGTGCAGCTATTTAATGCTAACGTAATGCAGTGTAAAGTGTAAATAAAACAGTATTTGCACAAACCAGTTTAAAACTTTAGATTGCAAAGAATCTGGAATTGACCGCATCTTGACTAAGACACTTAGCGTGACTCCTACCTTAAAAACTCCTCTGTGATCATCCAGACTGAGATAACTCTAACCATAGATGGTAAGTCAGACTGCTAATCTGATCTACTCCTTTATTGATGTTTTCATTTTATTTCATTCTAATGACATTTTACCCATGACTCATGACCAAATATGTATGAAGTTTCTATACATTTGTTAAACCAGAAAGCACAGAAGTTCTTAGAAAAGAGTTTCTCTTTATTATCCTGAAAAGCCCACTCGGGGAAGTCAGCTAAAATGCTGATGATGTTTCAAAAGATTTCTATAGAGCGATGTGATGCATTCATTTAAAAACTGCTAGACACATGACCTCCAGTAACAAAACGTAAAGTAGTAACTACAGTTTTATTATATAGCATGAACGTAATAAAGTAAAAGTGTCTGTGTGTTTGAATATTAGGATGTGTTTATCCCTGATATTCAACTCCTATGTTCTTATGAGTGAGCCCTTCCATTTGCACCTACGCTTTCCCTCAGCCACTTGTCTATCCGGCGAAAACAGACTTCAGAAATAAGTGACCTTGTCTCTTTTGGCCCACATTATAAGGACTACGCTGCTGAGACACTCCACTAATGCACACTAATCCTCTAACACAATGACCTCAATCCTTTAAATCTGTCAACAGGGAAGCTGATGCTCCAGATTAAAGATCCAGCTGCAATGATACCAAGGGACCCTGCTCCTTCCTTGTTTCAAAACTCACACATTATTTACAGTTTAAATTCTTTATTATATGCAAAGTATCCCAAGCAGCTGTCAGTGGATTTCAGTGTATTACTGTCAAATGTAACTGGATTGTATACCTGTAATTTTACTTTATAATTCAACACGCAAGGCGATGTGTTCTTCTGAGTGAAAATCCTCTCAAAGTGACAGACAGAACATGGCAGAATGTTACTGTGATGGGCGCCAGAGGATGAATCTTATAACAAAACGACATCAAAATGCTGCAGCATTTCATTGGACAAGGCATTGAGACGTGTGTTGATATCGCATTGCTGGTTGACAATTGTGAAGGATTTAATAATCCAGTCTGTATCTGAATTTAATTTCTGGAATCTCATCTTGTACAGCAGTTCCACAAAGAAAGTTGTTGTGCATTAATGCTCCGTTGTGAATCACTGCCTATAACCAGGAGGCGTTTGTTTACCTTTTCGACTATGGCCTGAGAGATAAACCGACTGAAAAAGGGTGAGTTTATAAAGGATTTGTAGAGATTTTGAGGAAAACTTATTAAAATCACTTTTATCAACACCCTGAATCATTGTGAAGCTTTTTGCAGAGAGTGACAACATGTTCTTTACCGTCTGTAGCAAAATAAAAATCCTGTTGTGCAGGGTATCAGATTATCTAGGCTTTTTAAAGCCACAACCAGTATTTATTCACCACAGCTTGTAGAATGAATTTTAAAGCTGCACTCACCTCTGAGACATTGAAAAAGTCGAAATAAGAAGAAAAATGAAACATAAGTTATCATATTGAAGGCTCAGTTGTTGATGACGATACTTAATATTCTTTACAGACTGGGTTAACATACTCTAAATGAATTGCCCAATCAGTTATCTGAGACTTTGTTCTCTCAGTGCAATTTTTTTTAAATTTGCAACAGCTCATAATTTTGGCAGGCACATCAAATAGTGCTCTCAAAATAGCATTTTGCAGAATGATGACATCAGCCCTAAATCACATTCAAGAGTGATTAAACCTAATCAAATCCTGCTGATTAATAGCAAAGCTTTAATTCCATAATCCAAATATTTCATTGTGTTGTTTTTCTTGCGCTATTATAAAAAAAAAATGCTAATTAAAACTGAACTTCAGGGATTAAAATTTCCATTTTCTTTATTGATAAAAAAAACTTGGGAATAACACATATTTTAGTTTAAAAACAAGAGAACATTGCTTAAAAATACATTATTTTTGTGCTTGAACATTTCTCAGTTAAACAAGTAATGGACTGTGTTAAAACATTAAACCATTTGTAAATTGCACAATTTTACACCCTTCACCACCAGCACAAGAGAAGCCTGCAGCCCAGAATAACTTAGTTTAAACTGATCAGAAACACTGTCCATTGCAAACTCCACATAGGCTATATTTACATGACATGAACTAAATAAGTATCTGGTGAAAACTGTGACTCAGAGTATCATGCTGCATTTTTACAAGAAAATACACAATCCATGGACATCCTCTGAAAATACAAAAAACTTAAAACTACTTAAAAGCATTCTTACTTTAATGATCGGACATCTAAGAGAACCTGGAGACATTACTACGGGAGCAAAATTAAAAAGAAATATAAACGAAATAAATGTAACTTTTTTACGTATAAATGTATAATAAATAAACTGCATATGGTATTTTATATTTACACAACATATCTTGTAGTTTTTGATTATATAAATACAAGAATTCCCTTTAAATTAAATACATTTTAACTTTTTTCTTGCTTAGTGTTTACATTACAATCTGTGCCTACAAATTTGTACTTCGTGCATCCATTTTAAATATAGAACAGTCTGTATCTCAGCAAACAAGTGATTCATTTTGTATAAGCAATTAAAGCCGTGCTTGTTTCTTTGTCTCTTTAACATTCTTTGTCAGAATGTGCATCTTGTGTAGAACTCTTTCTTATCACCTATGCAAACATAAAACTTCAGTGGGGCTCCCCTACAGGTTTGACCACGGGCCATGGCATATCAGGTAAAGGTATTTGTGGCTCAGCAGGGGCTGGTTGCTGCTGTGCTTGCTGATTGGACCAGGTTAAGTCCACACCGTTCTTCTTCAGTGCAGACAAGTGTTTAATGTCCAGCGTGGTGAAGGTGGTGAACTGGACTTGATTCCTCTTGCTGGTGGGAGAATGTAGAGGCTCACTGCGCTGAGGTCTAGCCAGCAAGGTGGCGGAACGATTTGCCAAGAGGTCGACTGCCTTTCCTTGAAACTGGAGTTGCTGGGAGCTGGTTCTGCTGCGTCCCAAAGTGGCAGTCCTCTCTGGGACTGGAGGGGCACTCACGGTAGGCAAAGAGCTAGTGCAGTGACCCATGGAATCGATGGAATGATGTGACTCCAGAGGGTGGTGCGTCTTGCGTTTTAGTGTGGATGCTTGAGTCGAGACATCCGGTGCTGCTGGCGCAGGCGCACTGTGGTTGCTGCTCCCAAGCCACACCCAGTCATGTTTGTGATCTTTTGGGTCCATGTTCGGTACTGGGCCTGCTTGTATGGGGGTCTTCTGATTGCGAAAACATAGTTTATATGAAGCACAGTTGAGCAAAAATGCCAAAATTGCAACACAGGAAACGCCCACTAAAGCGTACATGCCGATTTCCAAATCTGACATGGCTCTGAATGTCCTGATGAGGTCGCTTTCAATTACTTTTGGCATTTTAGATTTAGGAAGCTCCTTTTTGGGTGTTTCTGCTTCGGGGATGTTGATGCTAGAAGATGAATTAGAGTTATCAAGCAAATTTCCAAAAGTTTTCTTCATCCCATCTCCTTTACTAAAGACACTCGCTGTAGGTTTGGCAGTGTTCGGCTGTGTATTCAGGCCTGGTTGGATTATAGTTGAAGGTGTAGCCATGCTGACGACACTAGAAGCAGTTCCTCCTGTGGCTTTGGCCATTCCAGTCCACACAACATGTGTTTGTACGTATTTGTTGGGAAAAGTTGTTGAGGTGGTACCTTCAGCCTCAGTGGATTGCTGGTTAGGTATTGTGCCTCTGACCAGTCTTCTATCCAGCATTCTGAAAACATTTTTTGATGCTGCTGTTGTTTTAGGGTCATCCATAACTTCTGGTGTATTACCACCTACATTTTTATTCCTATTAGCACCTCCTCCTCCTCCTGTGACAGCTCTGTTACTCTGGAAGTTTGCTTTGAGAACTCCTGTACCCACCACCAGTTTACTCCTCCTCTTATTCTTCTGGCATTCCTCACAGATCCTGAGCTCTACCCTCACTTGCCTTGCCCGGCCCTCACCTTCACCTTGCGCAACTGCAAACACAGACTGCGAAGTGCGGCGTATCGTGGCGACACTTTCATCGTGGGTGGTGACTGTGAGAGAGTAGACATTCCGGTCAAACAGTTCCAGAGGAACAACTGCCCCGTCGCTGAACCGAACCCAGCAGTTGACCAAAGCTTCCTGTGCAAAAAAAAAAAAATGAAAATTGAATACAGAAAAGTTAATTAGCTGATGATTAAGTCAGACAAAAATGAGCAAATCAATATCCCTGTCTCCATCACTAAGAGCATTAATTCCATTGATTGCTAATAAGACTTAACTAGATTTATTAATATTTTCATTAAACACTGTGCAGTCATTTTAAACCACAACTAATTTATTCATACTTTGCTTCCAACAAGCCAAACTTTCTTGGTTTAAAGTTGTCTTGATTAATAGTTTTGAGATATTCTGAAGGTCTTTCAAAGTTTCTCTTTGGACCTTCTTTGCTTTTCCACTCTCTTCTCTCCAGTTCTTGTACCTGACCATGACAGCATTTTTTGCAGCGTGGGCACAAAAATGAAAAAAGTGGACAAGTGGAGGACAATAGAAGAAGTGTCAGGTCTAAAACATGTCTACAGCGCATTAACAGTACCGTGTTTTCCGTTGTACATGTCGCACCGCCCTATAAGTCGCATCAGTCCTAATATGTCTAATAAAGTGTAAAAAAAAACATGAATAAGTCACATGGCCATATATGTCGCATCTATTATGCATCATGTTGTGGAATAATATTTGTTCCTTTTTGAATCTGACTCCCAATTCTTATTTTATTTTGAAATTGACCCACTTCCTGTTTTACTTTGAAGAGGCTCTTCATTTCCTGTTTATATAATGTAACACGATGTAAACCACTTCTGATTGGATTGGATACTGACCAACTGACCAATTAGATCGCAGACAGACTCAAAGCGCGCTGAAAAGTTAGTTTTTCTGTGTGAAGGAACGCCCTGTTTTTCTGAGACAAAGAGAAGTGAAGAGTCCTGTCCTGGTGTGTGTGTGAGAGAGAGACGCAGCAGCCAGCCAGCAGTTTGGAGGAGAAAGACAATGCAGGTTGTATTGTAAAGATTAAGAGTTGCATCCAGATTTTAATATGTTAAAATAACGACTGCATTTAACTAACCCACTGTTTATACTTGTGAATCTGTGACAACTTTTTTATTTCTGAGTTACTTTACTTATTAAATATTCATAAACTGAAGGTGCGTGTGTAGTATCTGATGTGCAATGATTTGACTTCCTGCAGGATTGAAGCGGTAACTACAGAACTCGGGTGGAGAAAGAACATAAAACACAACAATCACCATTGATGCATTGCGTTTGTTACGTGTTACCGCTGACAACTTCGAAATGTGGGCCAAACCCAGAACTGTGGGCCGATGATGTGCCAAAAATCAATTCGCTGCCAAATAGCAGCCGCGGGAGTGTGCACGGGAGGACTTTAACGAGAATTTAACAAGATTAACACTTAAAAAATATATTTGTTTGCTCGAAATTATAGCAAAGTTGTGTCACATTCAAACTTTTTTCTTAATAAATGCACTTTAATGGTCAAATCAGCTGCATTTCAAAAGTATTCGCTGCCTCGGTGCTCCGGGAGCATGCAGAGGGAGGAAATCAGGAAGGAGGAACGTTGTGCATTTCTTCAAAATTTAACAATATAAGCACCTAAAACAATTATTTGTTTGCTCGACATTATAGCAAAGGTGTGTCTCAGTTGAACTTTTACTTAATAAATGCATTTCAATGGTCAAATCAGCTGCATTTCGCTGGGGTGAAATGCAGCTGATTTGACGGTTGCTCCAGACATGATCCTGGAGCTAGACGTAGGTGGCTTTGATGGCAAGCCGACTGTGTCATTAATAGCCACTTTTACCTAGTACATGACACAACAGCATGCCATACTACTCAAGTGCCATCTAGCAGCTGAAAATAGTAGTGTTCAATATTTTTCATGTCAGAATGAATGAAAACGGTCATATATCAGTCAAAAATTGGTTTATAAATATGGGAGAAAAAAACTAAATAAGTCGCTTCAGTGTTTAAGTTGCAGGGTATGCAAATTAGACAAAACGGTGCAACTTATAGGCTGGAAAATACGGTATATGAAAGTTGCTTCTTTAACATACAGAGGTAAAAATTAGATGACGATCAATGTCAGGACACCAGACATCCCTCATCCGGCAGTTGGCTACCTGCTGTATGTCTATTTTTCAGCTAATAGCAGTTTTTAGGAATCACCTTATTGGTACCAAAATACTAATTAATGTCTGTTAAACTGTGTGGGTTTTTTTTTATTTTTTTTTTTAGATTCAACTAAAAACATTAAAACAGTTTGTGTCTTCATAACGCGATGTTAGTTACAAAGTGTTTAAATATCCCTATTGAAACAATTTTTCTTTTATGCCAAGTTGCCTGTTTTGTGTCGACCCAACCCTTTTTTCATACATTGAGTTAAGTCTTTTTTAATACTCGAATGATTCTTAGATCTGGGTTAAAACATTTAACAAAACTATTTCTCTCTGAAAATAATCTGTCAGGATTAAAGATTTTTGGTTGTTTTTGTTGTTTTGTGTTGTATTTTCTGTGTTTTTTCTTGTTTTTTAGAGGTCTTGTTTTATCTCATTGTTTCTCTGTCACCATTCATTCCTACCCAGTCACACCTGATCCTGGTATCACTGGTCTCACCTGTCCCCATTTGCCTCATCAGCCCTAGACCATTTATTGTTCCAGCCCTCGCTCATCTGCAGTCTGGCACTGTGCTTTCTGCCCTGTCTGGGGGTTATTCACGTCTTTATTTATACCATTTATTGTTTAGTTTTGTGATTATTAAAGCTTAAAGTTTTCAAGCTCTGGTGTTGATCTGCATTCCTGAGTCTACTTCTACTTCTAAATGTGACATTCATGGAACAAGAAATTAAATATAAGTCAACTACCAGCCAAAGCCCAAAGTAAACCTTTGAAAGACTTCAGAAAGTCTGGAGGAATATTGATCAAGACCAATTAGGAAGATTGCAATTATAAATGGCTCTATCCATAAAGTATAAAGAAATGAGGGATGATTCAAAGTTTTGTCTGATACTGTATGATTATAAAGTAATCTATCCATATCAATGCCTTTCCATTTATTTTATCCTATTCAATAGAAACAATACCAATTTCTAAAACATGGAACCGTTTTTTTTTTTGTTTTTTTTTTAACTGAGCAACAAGGGTCACACCAGGACCAGAATTAACCATCCATCCATCCATCCATCCATTTTCTTTACCTGCTTGTTCCATTTTGGGTCACGGGGGTTGCTGGTGCCCATGTCCAGCGATCACTGTGCGAGGGGCGGGGTACACCCTGGACGGGTCGCAAGTCCATCACAGGGCCACATAGAGACAAACGAGACAAACAAACATTCACTTTCTCACTCACACCTAGGGACAATTTAGATTTACCAATCAGCCTAACATGCATGTTTTTGGTCTGTGGGAGGAAACCAGAGTACCCGGAGAAAACCCACGCATGCACGGAGAGAACATGCAAACTCCACCCAGAAAGGCCCCTGGACCGGGGTTTGAACCAGGGACCTGCTCGCTGAGAGGCAGCAGCTCTACCAGTTGCGCCACCGTGCTGCCCCAGAATTAATCAATCAAATCATATTAATTTCATTTCAGCCAATTTCTAGTTGGAAATCTGACTGGATTGCCCTAAACCTAACTTATATTTTAGATTTCAATTCTTTGCCCTGAGCATATTGTTAACAAAAGCATTTGGCTGTTCATCTGCACAGGCGTTTTTTTGTTTTGTTTTGTTTTGTTTTTTTTGACAGACCAGCTGTGAGTGAACTGGAAATAAAGTGAGCACGTGGTCCAGTGGCTAACTGCTGGTTCATGCAGGTCGCAGGTTTAAACCTGGCATGATGCCACAGCTAAATGTGTGTGAGCTTTTGAAAATGATCCTCTATAAACTTTCTCTGCCTCTTGTTGCTCTCTCACACAGCATTGCAAATGCCAATGATGGAGCAGGCTGAGAACACATTTACATTCAGTGAAACAAAGCACTAATATTTTTACACTTTTGTGTTTTTAAGTTTCTTTATTGTCATTCACACCACATGTGGTACATGAGGTGGAATGAAAGTGTGTACTCTAGGTCTCAGTTACACCTAAAAATAGCAAAATATAAAATATACAAAGAAACAGTATACAGGGATCTAAGATACATGCTAACCATTAATAATGTAAATAATATGGTATATTAAAAAGTATCTTGTTACATCCACTGGTTTCTAGGGGTTCTCTTACTAGAGGACAACCTTGCTCCTCCTCTGCTTGTTTACAGGCCTGCTGTCTCACCACACCTGGAATCACTTCCTCCTCATCAGTGGACTGCATAAAAGCTTCAGTGGTCCACTGCCACACCCCCTGTTTCCATGGACATTTCCTCAGGCATTGTTGTAGTGTGGTTGACACTGAACTTGACACTGTGTGCAAAGTGTTTAGCAACTCTAAGATCTTTCTGATCTTATGTGAACTTTAAGTTTTTTTGTTTAGGTGGGAAGTTTGGCAGGGGTTTTCCACCATTTTATTTTTGCTAACTTTTCTCCTGTTTTGTGACCAGGGAGCTTAAGAATTGTAGTTTTTGTTTAGTTAGATAAGAGGCGATTGTATTTTCTAGCCAGAAAGGTCATGCTTTGTTTTGGCCTTGGAGACCCTGAAGTTCATGGCTTCCCTTCCATCTGTAACGCCCAAAACTATTAGAAGAATAAATTATTGTAATGCTAAATTGGTCTGTTTTTGATTTATTAGCTTTACGTTTAGTTTACAAATTTCTTTTACACTCTATGCCTCCTGGACTCAGTCCAAGGGTTGTAACAATCTACTCTGCAAGTGGATATCAATTTTCTGTTCTTTTGCATTGCTGTTTTTGCAAGATGATGGAACTCTTACTGGAAACTTATTTCTTACTGATTTTGTGTTCACTTTAAGTTAATCTTTATTTTTTTTCCTAGAAAGACACTGAACCTTACAATGCTCTGTCTGGTGACTGGAGTGTGAATGTGTTTAGTGTAAATGAACCCTATTTTCTCAGAATTATCTCCTTTTTAAGGCAATTTAAACACTGAATGAATCCAAGTTAAGAAATAACTCGTTAACCTGCAAACCTCTCAATTGCACAAAATCCCTTTTTAGCATCCAAGTATTCATTTGTTTTTTGTTTTTATCTTACGATATTTCACTCAGCCACTTTTTTATTACTTGTAGTTTTCCTTTTACACTCAAAACTTCAAAATTTTACACCCGTCCTCTAAGAATGTTTCGATTTTCAGCTCTAGCTCTTGTCAAAACTTTGAATAGTTAAATAAAATAGACAAAAGTTTCATTCTAGACTGTTTAGCTTATTTTAAATCTATCAAATTGGATTACTTGTGTCCACATCACAATCCAGCACCTGAACTAATATTAACTGTTCATTTCAAACAATAAAATGTGTTCTTACGGTATCTGCACAAGGTTTGCTTTTGTTGGAATTAAAAAGTAGATCTTAAGCAACATTTTTCTTTTATGCAAACTGAACAAGAATTCTAAATTTGCATGTCAGGTGTGTAAAGATTAGCTCAGTTCTTCTGTTACTTCAAAGTGAAAGTTTATTTGTCATTCGCATCACGTGGTACATGTGGTGGAACGAAATTGTGTACACAGGGTCCCAGTTACATCCGACAAAAGTATAATTGTAAAGGGGAAAAAAACAAAATCTAAGATATGAACTAAGAAATACGCTAAACTAAAAATACACTAAGCACTAGTAGTACAAAAAAAAAAAAACAATACTTCATGAGTTCACTGAGTGTTTCATGACTGACGTAACTAATTAGAGGCCTCTCTGGGGTAAAATACTTTTTCATTTACCAGGAGCATTTGAAATCCTAAAAAAAATTAAACGTCATACAGCAGCAGTCTCAGAAAAAGACAAAACTAAAACCACAATCTAACATGAAGCAGTCATTCAGTAATATGTTGCCATTTATCTTTTTTGTTTGTTTTTGTTTTTCTCTTTTTATTGCTTTGTTCTTGTTTTTTTTATGTTTGTGGGAAAATAAATTGTAAATGTGTTTGCTTCAGATTCCAGCTACTCAAAGATGCAAAACAAAAAAAAAAACTAAAACAGCTGTCGGCTTCCATGTTAATATTTAAAAAAATGGACACACAATGGCAAAAATAATACAAAGGTTTTGCACAAACACCATAGAAAAAGTAAAAAGAGAATAAATCGATTTTTCTTATCGCCAATAACATTTATTTTCAATGTAAACCAATCTGACGTCTGCATGTGTGTTACAACCTCAGTTAAGCTTATTTAAAATTTTTGTTTGAGAAATACACTTATAGGTTTTGCTATTAAATCTAAAATTAAAAATACTGTAAATGTGCTTTTTTTATAAAACTGAATGTTGTTCAGCGTGTTTTCTATCAAACAATTTAAAACGTGAACATGTAACATCTATTGAATATATCAAACACTTGATTGGTGGATCATCCAGTTCTGTACAAAATGTAACTTCAGCAAATCAAAATGAAATGATAAATTCAGTTTTGAATTAAAATGAAATCAATCATCCTTTGCTGATAATGTGGTTTGTCCAAAAAAAAATGACAAGTGCAACTGGCTTTTAAAGAAAAACAATCTCTTCTGTGCGCCTCACTTTCTTTTTGTTATTTCAATTCTTCAACTTCTTACCTGTTTGAGTTGTGTGATGATCTCCCTTGTGGTTGTTGTGGCAACGATGGCTTTGTTGCTCCCAGGACTGAGTTGAAGCGACAGAGAGAGTCCAGAAACCAACTGCACCCCCAGTTCTGTCACACTCACTTTATCATCCTGCACCCTGATGCTCCTCTCGGCCAGGACCGACGATGTCACAGGGGACAGCACCTGCAAACAAAACGTGGGAATGCATTTGCACCGATAAAGCCACATGCACACGCACGTGCACACACCCATTATCCACCTGCACAGTTGTGGTCCCCGCAGCTTTTCCTTGTAGGACCATCCCATTCTGCACTCTAACGACATTAGGATCCGCAGCTTGAATAGAATAGCGCACAAAGTCGGTCACATCCACCTGTCAGTCAACAACAACAACAAAAAATAGTAAACTAAGTGAAAGATTTTGCAAAACCACACATTGAAATACAATATGAGCACAACATTTATAGTTTTCCTGTATAAAATATTGCATCAAAATTCAAAACATTGTTTTAATTGCTAAATAAAACCAGAAATTTCAGCTATTTTAATTTAAGGTTATGTGGAACGATTATGAATAAATCTATTTTGCAGAGATTGCATGAATGGTATGCTGCTATTGAATCTTTGGGATTGGAGCTGTTTTAAGCCACTTGTCAGAATTCAACTACGTTCTCTGGACTGAAACTGTTCCAAAAGCTGTCTGGAGCAGATAACGTTTACACAGAAGCTCATTTCAAAAGATCTGAACTATCCCTTTAAGGATGAAATATCAAACCAGTAGCATATCAGCTCTATTGAGAATACTCAGATACTTTTACCTGCCAATCAGGGCCTAGGAAGTACTCAACAGGCTCTTCTCCAGTCAGAGGGTCAGGCAGCGCCTCTGCATCAGGCTGGGCTACGAAAGGTGTGAGCACCCTCACTGCAGAGAGCTGGTACTGCAACATGCAGCCCCTGCCCTTCCTCATCTCCTCATCTTCCTCACTGTCCCATGCAGACCTTTCAGACACAGGCAATAAAACACAATTGATCTTAAACCTATTGCTGAAATTGCTTTACACAGACTTCTCTAACACGTACACACATTTCGAGGCCTTGCAGTTAATTTAGGAAATATTCCTACCCATGATTACATTTTATTGTTTAGAACATTTTAAATTAGCTTCCAGCATTGTATTAAAAAATAATAATAATAATAAAAACAACCCAAAACCATGCAGCTAATTTGTGAACTTCTAAAAAAAAAAAAAAAACCCAGAAGCATTGTTATTCTTGCTATGTGGAGGCACGCAGCACATGGTGAGTGACCTTTTCCCCGAAATCAATTTAACTCAAATTAACCGAGATCCCACGGCTGGGTGGTTTGTTTGTGTGTGATGGAGGTTAAGCTGTGAACCTCTCAGCTATGATCATATAATTATCATACACACAGCTGGTCTGCCACACGGTGCACCCCAGGTGTGCTGCCGGGTTGGTGGAAATGATTTTACACTAGCAGGCACAAAGCTCCTGTCAAGACACGGTCCAAATAAACATCATTATTATGTAGCCTAGGGTCCAAGCTTAACATGTGATGGGATTTCTGTTTGAATAAAATCAGTGCGACTCAACAACAAACATGAAACTCTTGGTTAAATTTCCTTGTCCGATTGTTTGAAGGTTGATTCAATGCCATAGTTGCGCTCTATCTGCACGTGGTAAACAAAACCAATTTAGCTTCTATTTGTTCTTTAGTTTCACTTTTTTTTTTATCTGTTTATTTATACGCACATTAATTAACAGAACTTTGGTTATTTTTATTTTTTATTTTGACCTTCAAAAGATGAGAATTCTATATTTTTAGTCTGATTCAGTACTCTACCTCTTTTTTGTAACTTCTTCAAATTTTCAGGGTCACGAGGTTGCTAATCAGCATCAGCATTTTTACAAGTGTTAATTAGCTAACACTTGTTTTAACATACCATACTTTTCACTGTATAAGTCACATCTTTTTGCATAAATTTGTATGCCCTGCAACTTATCGAAGCAACGCATTTGTTTTTTTTTTTTCCTCATATTTATAAACCAATTTTTGGCTGAGATCTGACAATTTCATTCATTCTGACATGGAAAATATTGAACACTACCATTTTCATCCACTAGAGGGCCCTCTATTAATATGGCAAACCAAGTGACTCATTAATAGGTAAAAGTGGCTATTAAGGAAACACTTGACTTCCCATAACAAGCCACCTTCGCCTCGTTCTGAACTCCTGGAGCAAATGTCAAATCAGCTGGATTTTGCCGCGCCACCCAGGAGAACTGTAGCTGATTTGACTAGAAAAGTGCATTTATTAAGGAAAAGTTCGACTGACGCACACCTTTTGCTATAATGTCAAGCAAACAAACCATTGATTTTAGATGTGTATCTTGTAAAATTTCGAAGAACTGCACAGTGAGTTCCCCCTCTGCGCAATTCCACGAATCAATTTTTGAAATGCAGTTGATTTGACCATTAAAGTGCATTTATTAAGGAAAAGTTAAACTAAGACGCACCTTTTGCTATAATGTCGAGCAAACAAATAATTGTTTTTTAAGTGTTAGTCTTGTTCAATTTTTGTTAAGTCCTCCCGCGCACCCACCATTTGGCAGCCAATCGATTTTTGGCACAACACCGGCCCACGTTTCCGGGTGGCCAGCGGTGACGCATAATAGATGCGACTTACACGGCGAAGCAACATATTTGTTTTTTTCCACTTTATTAGACATCTTTGGACTGATGTGACTCATATGGTCCAATGTGTATGGCAGCAAGTACGGTACTCTGAAACCATTTGAAATTGGCTTTGTGGAAAATGTGCTAGTAACTTTTAGGTTACCTTAATGTGAACGGGAGGTACGTTTATGGTGCTACACACTGTTTTATGCAGGTCTTATAAACAAAATAACTTTTGTTTCTGCAACACGTATGTGCACATGCAGTTTAACGAAAAAATATAAATAAATCATACTCCTTACCAGGCTAAATTACAGTTTATAGTGTGGTTTCTGACCTACAATTTTGTTTGTATCTGGAGCTGGGTGTTGAATTTGTAGGTCATTATCAATTAGTATTGAACAGTTGGAACAAATGGCCTTACTGTACTTATTGATCGAAACTCTACCAACCTTTATTTTCTAGGACAACTGTGCTCTCGCTGTGCTCACCTCTAATGCATCAAATAGAAATGTGCTGTTAAAACTTACTAGAATCATTTCAAAAAGTTAATACGCCTCGTGAAAATTGACTTTATTTTTTTGTTTTTTCATTTGACACATTTGCTGAAAGGTAATTTAGTTGTTTTTTTTTATTTAAACTGCCTGTTTCGATTTTTATTTTTTTTTCACAAAACCTTTCCCGTGTGATGACCATTTCATTTCCTCTTGTTATGCTCAGAATTGTCCTAATAAAAGTTCCACTTGGAGTTCAACTTCAGCTATGAAGTGACCTCATTTCATGTTTTTGAGAATCTTTATGATGTAGAACTGATAGTTGAATTACAGAATGCCCCATCCCAGAAAAGGCTAAGCAATCTCAAAGCAGGTTTGAACATTCCAGCTGTATTGCGAACATCTTGCATGAGACTCTTCTCCTGAAACATGTTTACTCCTACTTGAACTAGACAGCTTTGATTAAGCTGCCTTGAGCAGATTATTTCAAAGACCTTTGACTTTATGTTCACAGAGATGCAAGAAATAACTTGGAGATGGATAATCTTTCATTATATAAAGGATTGAACAGTTTTCTTTAACTGATCTTAAGCAGCATGAATATGTAATGTTCACTGTCTTTTGCGTTTAACAAATGATTTAGTCTTTTTTTCTTAACAATTTACTTATTCCAATATACTAAAATGTGCCAACCAGAGGAGGACTTGCATCATAACTCTTTACAACCAAATTCAGAAACACAACAGTCCTGTTTAATGTAATAAAGTTTGTCAAAGTTTAATCTGACGCTGTCGTTAAATGGAATCTACAGAGAATGTAATGTGAAGGAAAGATGAGTTAGGATGGAGAGAAGCAGAGTGTGCTCTATTCAAACAAGGACATAAATGTGCATGTTTAACAATCTGTTAAATTACATCAGAATGCAGGAAATGGCATCCACTTTATTTAAAATTTTCTGGGGGAGGACCCCCAGACTCCGCCCCCGCTGTTTGCATTCTGGCATCATATGCTTTATAAATTAAGCACTGATATCAGAACAAGTATTAATGTTGACTAACCTCAATGGCTAAAGCCCTATTCACACAGGCTTCGTTTTACCCAGGGACCACATGTAATTACTCCCCAGCGTCTGCTTTTTATGTAGCGCATTTGCATGGGATCACCAAAGCCTGAGATTTAGCTGAAATTTATGGACATCTTCCGGATATGATGTTAACACGCTGCATATTGCGTAACATCTGCTTGTTTTTTGTTGTTGTTTGTTGTTTTTTTTTTTGTTGTTTCATCCGCTTTTGCTGGTCTGGGACACAAAAGGTTATTTATGCACTCCAATGCAGCCTCCATTGCCAAAAGCAAATAAAAATGTGCCCAGGAAACAAAATGTCTAATTGCATAAGGGATCCTACCCATTTCTGTCCAAATCAGAGATGCCTATTCACATTGGATTAGTATTGACACAGGACCTCGAGAGTTCAGCAAAATCTAGGTCATTTGCGGGGGAACTTTTACTTTACAAATTACTAACATGGCCGATTCGCACGGGATTAACAACACAAACAATCTCTGTAATTATTACCAATAGCTTGTGGTCCCTAGGTAAAACTAATCCCGTGTGAATATGGTTTAAGACAAGTTTCAAGTGAATGTGTACACATTTTTGACAGTTTAAAAATAATTTGAAATGTTTTTTGTAAGGTTTCTAAAACTTTTTCAACCATTCACGCTATCGTCCTTCTACAGTTCAAAAATCTTTAACCAGATTTTTTTTCATGTGTTCTTAAGATACTCAAACCTGAAGGGACAACAAATGCACAACCCCTGCTTACGTCTCACCTCCTGTTACCAGTTGTAACTGGGACCCTCCAACCTTTGATCTGGCTCAGCTCGGTGTCGGCCACATCGATGGTCAAGGGCAGGCGGGGCATCCATACGCTCATCTCCAGCTGCGCGCTCAGGAAACCATAAGTAAAATTGACCATCACTGTGATTTTGCCTTTTGTCTCTTTCCCATTTACGTAAACATAATTGCAGCGCTCGGACACCTGGCAAGACAAGGGACAAAAGAAAAAGGTGAAATACCTTGGTGTCAACCAAAAATGTGACAAAAGTTGACAGGTTACAGTTGAGTGAATAAGAGGCCTGGGCTGTTTTTTTTTTTTTAGATGTTTCTCTAAATGTAAAAATATTGGCATTTTTCCACATGAAGTACCACACAAACTGAACAAGATTGTTTTTGTTTGGATGACTGATAAGCCGAGATGGAAAACAGAAGCATTCACTGAAATGCCATCCAAAACAATACGTAAAAAACACACTTCTGTGCATTTCACACTACTTCCAAAGGGTGGCCAGGGAATCTCAATGTGTTTTGTGTTCACGTCATCTAAAGTCACAACTGTTACAGAATGTAAATTAGCCCTTTATGCCTGTTCCTACAGTGCTGTACAGGAGGCAAGAGTCTTGCATTCCCCCACCAGTAAGAGCAATGAGGTGGGACACAGCACTTGGTGTGTTTTACTTCAGATTGGAGGCCTATCTCTGCTGCTGCTTCACTTATCTTAACAAACCAGTGGCTCCACTGGGGTAATTGGAGAGCACTAGACTGGAGAATAGAGTGTAGCTTTGGAATATGGGTGGTAGAGAGGGAGAGGCAAAAAATAAAAAAAGTAAGGAAATGGAAAAGGAAGGAGTGTCTTCTAAAAATAGTTGAATTCTGGTGGAAGTGCAGGCAATGGATGTCGACCGTTCCCTCACTGAACCAAAAAACTTTCTGATGCCTTGAGCAGCTTTCCAATGCTGGTTCAGAGTACCATACATAATCCACAAAACATTTCTTCTAAGCAATAAAACTGGTTTGAAATTTTTTTTTACTGCATTCTTCATCTGAACGTTTGTTAAACTAAAATATTTTCTAAACATTAAAACTGAGCTTATTAGTTCATTTGACAGGGACAATGCACACAAACGGAACAGAACAAATCTGTGACTGATGCAATGCACAAAGAGCATATAGTGATGGCTAATTCGCAACTCCAGTCCCTGGTTGGGCATTTCTACGCATTAAAATATATGCAATTTATCAATCAGAATACAGTAAGAATGCATACGTATTCATGCCTACATATTCATGTAATCAACCTTATAACCTCCAAATTCATAATAAAACTATACATTAACATACAAACAATTTATTCTGTTTTAAAGAACCGCTGCCCAGGTTGCTGCCCGTTTTCTTCTATAGGGACAAACTAATGGGGATTTGATGTTTAAGGAAATAACAGGAGTTCATGTCTTAACTCTTTATTTAAAAATAATGACTGCAAAATAGCTTTAAATGGGACATTCAATCTAAAACTGGCATCTAAAGTCGTTAACGGGAATAATTAAATCATACAATAAACCATTTTTGAAAGAAAATAAAAACCATTAATGCACCTAACATGTGTATGTGATTGTACCAGCTTTTGCTGTTTATTATATCTTTATGTACATTATATCCATCCATGGGGGGAGTGGTGGTGCAAAGGTTAGAAGGTGGGTTCTACTCCCCAGTGCGATATCATGTGGGTGGGAAAGGTAAAACGCCTGCTTACAACCTCATTTTCCCCACTCTGGGTCTTTGAGCAAGGCTCTTAACCCCCACATCTGCTCCCCCGGGCGCCCTAGATGACCCCTCTGCTCCACACAGAGGGCTGTGGTAGCTCAGTGGTCTGTGGCTGCATCAGGAAGAGCGTCCGGCGTAAAAACAATTGCCAAGTTTTCATTAGAATTAGTTTGCTGTGGTGACCCCTGAAGAACGGAGCAGCCGGAAAACAAAGAAGAAAACTAAATAAATTACAGCCGTCCATCTCTTTTCTTTAATGGCTTATTCTCATGCAGGGTCACTGGAAAGCTGATGCCTATCTCCAGGAGTCAGTGGGTGAAAGGCAAGGTGCAAAACAATTTACGATACAGTTTTTGCCATTTTCAATTATCCACCTCTCGGTCTGTGTAAGGTCATCCTTGTGTGCGCTTGTCAGTGTTTTAAATAGCACACACTGACATTCACACAGCCCTGCTCTCAGTGATTGATCTGTGATCAATACAGATGCCCCCACTTCCTGTTGGAAACACATGTAAACTACAGATTAATAGAAAAATGAAGACGAAAAAGTTATACTGAGGTTACTGTTATTTTCTTACGTGATGGGGCTTTTCATCCTACCAAACAAATCCCTGCTATCAGAAAAAAAGATTTATAAGGTCAGGTGGCATTTGTTAGCTTTTGCTTAAATCTCTGCCCAACACTGGTTTTAACCGTGCAACTGATCACAGTAAAACAACTTTACCACTCACATATTTATTTCATTTTAAACCGTCTATCATTCATTAATTTCAAATTTAATTAAAGGTAAACCAGAACAGGCTTCAGCTTTTTTTTTCTGCCTATTATATTAGAAAAATATAGCATCCATCCAAAAGAATTATATGTTTTGTGTATTCTCTATAATTATATGAGAATAAAAATGCTGCTCTACTGATCTCAAGTACAATTTCAGTCCTTCAGATTTTATCCATGCATACATGACAAGTGTGATGTTAGCCAAACTGCTTGTGAACGAATCCCTCATAAAAATTTGACTTGTGGCCGCTGAAGTATAAACAATAGATGCTGTGGTTTGAGCTTTGACTTTATCTGGTCACTTGCATTGCTCTAAAAGGGGTCACTGACCACAGGAAGCATGAGAGGACATCCATGCACAATGTTAACTGAATTAGGCCTCCACTAAGACTGTATTTGTAATGATTCTCTATCTCTATTCAGCTTTAGTCTCACTCTTAAACAACACGCTGCTTCATGCTCACAAAGCCAGAAACATGAATCCACTGCTAAAAGCTCATATTACTGTGCTTACTGTATGAAATGAGAGCCAAAATTACAAGCTCTGTGTCAAATACATTCTTGCAACTTAAAGTTTTTATTCACAGTTGTTTAAAACACACACAGAAATACAAACTGGCACTCAGGCCTATAGGTAAGCATAGACCTAATTGAATATGTATTTTTTCCCCATTACATCCAGTCATCCATTTTCTTTACTAACGTTTTTGCTTTTGGGTGAGAGGGTGGCTCATAGCTGGTGGCAATTTCCTGTGGTCGTTGTGCAAAAGGCGGCGGACACTGGGCAGGTCCCAAGTCCATCACAGGAGAACTTGGAGACTAACGATGCAGACAACAATCCATGCTCTCACTCACAAGTTAGTTACCAGTGAATGTAACGTGCATGTTTTTGGTCGGTGGGAGTAACTCACAGAAAGCCCTTGCATGCAAACTCCACACAAAAAGGCTCCAGCCAGCAAGCGAACTTGCCATTGCATGAAAATCAAAATAACTGGAGAATTGGCATTTTCCATGAAAATGCTGAGTGGTCAATGACGGCTGAAATTAGCTGAAGAAGCTAAAACAGAGTTTTTAAAACTAAAAGAAGCAGGAGTTAAAAGCTAAAAGTAGCAAAGCAATAGCTAAAATCTGGAAAAATAGAAAAATGCTAGCTAAAGACTGGGCTAACTAATTAATTACAGTAATAATGGCAGCCATTATTTCTGCAGTTTTCTGGCCTTACCTTGAGCACATCCTCCTCTGTAGACCTGCAGCTGGTGTAGTTCGTCACATCGGTGACTGAGCCGTTGGCCTCAACAGCAAGCGTTTTCACAGGAACTGAAAGCATTTTTCCCGTCAGCACGGCAGTGTTCAGAATATCTGTGGTCTGAGCAGACGGACGAGCACACGGAGAGCAAGTTATTTACAGTATGTGCACTACATAGTTGCAGGTTTACTTCATGCTGCTCATGTCCATTAATAAAGAGCATTTTATACAATTCAATCTTGTTTTTGAGCAAAACTTTAACACAATTGACTCAACTTGTACTGTTTAATGTAAATCCTTTATATTTGCATTTATGCCCCTCTGCATCCACCATTTCTTTCCTTTTCAAGTCTTTTCATTTTCTAAAAGATTGTTGAGCACCAGCTTGTGCGGCATCCTGACCTGAATGGTACTACCACTGAAAATAAAGAGATAATAAGACTCAATATTTACAGTTATTGGCAGCAGTTCTGCCAATAAACATTGGGATTAATCCCTAAGGGTTGTCAGTACAAATGAATAATCTAAAAATATTAACGGATAGATTTCTCAGTTGCAACATTGTATGAGTTCTTGTTCCACTTGTTATTGACTCTGGATGGGTTTTAAATAACTCTGTTCCTGCATCTTCTTGTATCAAAATAGTGTCAACACCATAAAAAAATAAAAATAAACTTTTTTTTAACTGGATTTTTAAAATCAAATAAATAAATCAGGCCACTAACTGATTGTACTATTCTTGGTTTAGACAGTGGTGAGTTGTATGTAAAATGTATAATGAAAAATTTTGTCTAGTTTTATTCCATGAACACCATTTGTGGCAGTGTGAACAAAACCAGCTTCATTAAAATCTGCATTTTATCCAGTTTAAAGCAACAGAGGCCTGCAGACAACCCCAGCTGTTGTAAGACGAGAAGTAGGATTCACTTCTGACGGGAACATCAGCCCATGGCAGAGCTAAAACTGTGACAATTTTGTACATAAACGGTTATTTAGAATCAGCTAAACTTGTAAAAATTGTCTAAGGATGCTGGAAAAAAAAATGCAAAAAACACAGACAAACAAGAAAACCATGGAAACCCTTCACATAGGATCCCCATGGGTCTGATATTTGAACCAGATCTGTGAACCACTCCAGATGTGTAAAGATTAACATGGAGTATTTAATGTGTGCAAGTGATGAAGATGACATATCAGGCAAAAAGTAAAGGCAAAAGACATTTTAAAACAATTATATTCTAATCTACTTAATGATTCTGAACAACATACAAAAAAAAAACAAAAGGATAAAAACTAAATGTGTTTTCCTAACTAGTGTACTCTAAAAGAAGACATCATAAAGAGCCTAAAAACCCACATAGGAAGATAATAATTAGAGTAACTGCTTGTAATGTTTTCACCCTTTTTTAATACCACTGACAAAAGATGAAAATCCTAATTAAAATGCTAATTACTCAATGAACAATGAACATCTTTGTGAAGTGTCAAATCAAACACCAAGTTGCACAAAAGAGTCAAAGAGTTCTGCTTCAGTAAATCTGATCTGCACAACATCTCTTCCTTTAAAATACAAACATATATGCAGATTTTGAAAAGTAAACCATCAATAAATAAGCATGATTTCAAAACTACAACCAAGCTTGAGATATCGTGTATTCTCTAATAAATGAACAAGCTGCAATGTGAGAATTTAAGTTTTAAAGGCAAGTAAAAAGTAAAAAGTCAAAGATAAAGTTCATCTTTGACATGTATGGCTAGGACATATTAATAACCAACATGAAACACTTGCCATCATCCCTGTCATCTTGTGTGCATGTGAAGAGATGACGGGTAGAGAGGAGGTGTTGGCAAGACTTAGACAGATTAAAAAAAAATGATTCAGTACAATCCCATTGATGAAACACTCCCTTACAAAGTGGACATTTGTGCTAAAATAAAATAAATACTTCTATAACTGCAATAAATGTGCCACTAACAAACGCTTTGTAACTTTCCCAAATCTAAGCATCAGATTCTGTAATTATCTTTAACTCATTTAATAGTCTTTATTCCTCCCTCTCCATGCTGATGTTAAAGTATCAGTGGGCGCTCGGCAGATGTTCCATGGCAGCGCCACATTCTCAACTCGGTCAGCCTGACAGCTGCTGACCGCAATTTCAAAAGGACATGTTCCAGTCCAGACAGCAATACTGACCTGAACATAAGCCAGGGGATCAGGGAGGAGCAGGAAATCAGAAAGCAATCGCGGTGCTTCTGTGGCGATGCCAGCAACACGCTGGGAGAGCTTCACATCCAGTGGTTTTTGCAAGCTGTGCAATAATCTGTTAACCTCAAGTTTTGGGGATTTTTCCCGCCTAAATGTATGTGATTTGCACTCAGCTAAATGTGCTATTATCAAAAACACTTGTTCAAATTATAAGCTCAGCTGGTTAGACTCTGCAGATAAAAGAGAAAAGCTAAAATAGCAGAGAGAAAATGGGGGAAAAAAGTCACAAAAATGTAAGTCAGCCTGTTTCTGGCAGGAGTTTTGCATCCAATAAAAGTTAGCATGTCTGTAAACTGTACGAGTTTATCTTTCTGTGACCCAGAAATGTGGAGTTTTTTTAACTGTGACAGAAAAGAAGAGCGTTTTCCACCTTAATCCCATAAGTGACTGAGATGAAACAAAATTCCTCCCAGATGGTTTTTTGATTTGAGTCGACTATTGTACCATGAAATAGACTTGTGAGTCTCTCGCTTTGGACAGACACATAGCATCAAAATTTAGACCCAAATAATCTGCACAAATAGACAATGTGGCAGAACATTAGTCCGGTCCTGATCATAATTATTTGTGATATAAACAGTCTGTAATTAATCTGAGACCAAGGGAAAACCACCCATCCATCCATTATCTTTTACCCGCTTCTTCCATTTTAGGTCACTGGGGTCGCCGGTGCCCATGTCCATCAATCACTGTTTGAGGAGCGGGGGACATCCTGGACAGGTCTCCGGTCCATCAGAGGGACACATGGAGACAAACAAAACAAACAATCACTCTCTCACTCACACTTAGGAACAATTTAGAGTTACCAATCAGTCTAACATGCATGTTTTTGGTCTGTGGGAGGAAACTGGAGTACCTGGAGAAAACCCACGCATGCACGGAGAGAACATGCAAACTCAACTCAGAAAGGCCCCTGGACTGGGATTTGAACCAGGAACCTGCTTGCTGAGAGGCAGCAGCTCTGCCAGTTGTGCCACCATGCTTCACCAAGGGAGAACTAACTAATTATAAATATAGTAATCCTGGAAGGCCTGAATATCCAGCAGTTCAAATTAATTTTTGCTAAAGATATATTTACTTTAAATAATAATAAAACATTATGTATTTCGCTAATGAGTGTTGGAAAAAAAATGGGAAAAAAGAACAAAAGTTTGGTAGAAAAAAATGTTTTTAACAAACAAAAAAACATCTATCTATCTATCTATCTATCTATCTATCTATCTATCTATCTATCTATCTATCTATCGTATGTGAGCAAAATTAGTGTGTACACGTTATTAAGGGTTGACAGACTCTGCGCGCTTTAACAAGTTTAATTTTGAAAATTAAAAAGTTATCTGTAAATGTGGTTTGTGACAATAAAGCATGTTTCGCAACAGCCAAGACTTGTTTTTTTTTTTTACATTTCAGGTGCAAACTCATGGCGATGTCATCCCATGATGTGTTGTGTGGTTTTCTAAAATCAAAAATCTCCAGAGCTGAATGTTTCCACAAGCGTCTTTAACGAGACAGAGAAACACAAGGTAATCCAAAAGTGCCCCCAACAGACTGCATTAATTTAAAGACTGTAATCCTCCCTCTGAACGGAGTTTCCTTTTCATCTGCTCTATCAAAACTCTCTCGGATGCAGCCTCAGTTGTATCTCTTTGACTCTGACTGACATTTATTGATCTGTAAAAAGTCTTGCACTCCGGCTGTCTGCTGAGCTGATGCAAGTATTGTTCTCACCATCACCAGAGGTGCCAGTCCCATGTAGTCTCTGCGGGTGGTGTAGATCCGCATTAATCCAACATCCTTGACATTCCCTGGAAGTTCCAGGCGCCAGGAGATGGCCTGACTCTCAATCTGTTCGGAAACGTCTTTTGGTACAAAATCAAGTTGCAAAATCTCCAGAGGTCCCCTGTTAGGAGATAAAATATATATAAAAATGTCAATTTAAACAGGTGAACACAGCTATTTTTTAATAAATGCATACAAATAAAGTCGTCCTTATGTTACAGTCTCACTTCAGAGCTCATAAATACTTTTTTTTTTTTCAAAGTTTAAAAATGAAGTATTAAAAATGAAGCAGACAAGAAATGATTGTGAATTCTATGAGAAAACCACCTGTGGAGTTTTCACACAAAGACACGGGAGGTCTCCCTTCCATCAACACAGAAATCAGGTGTGAGAATGTGAAGGGGGAGATAAGGTGAGCTGACAGAGGCTTCAGCCAAGAAATCTGGTCAAAGAAATGCTATTTGATGTTTTTTGATGCAGGAGAAAGTGCAGACACACCTGCCCGTAAGAACAGATCAAAAGCAGAGCGGAGCTGTATGTAAATGGAGCTGACATACTTTGAAGTGGACTAAAACTTTGCATGGAGCACAACAATGAAACATCCTCATGGCTGGAATGCACTTTTAAAAAGAACGCACCTTTTTTGCTAAAAAGCAAATAATGCAGCCTGTAAGGTTTTATGTTTAGAGATATAATAAACCGAGTGGTACAACTTGGAAGATGTCTGCTTCCTAATCTGCATTTCTGAACGTGCGAGCACTTAAGCCCGGATAGAGTAGCCGTGATTATGGATGTGGATATGTGGGTCAGATGTGGGCGGGAGGTTGCTGGGCAGAGGTGGCTGCCGGTGTTTCCCATCACCATCAGGCATCACTGACGTAGTCAAGTCTTCTATTTTTTTAAGTCAGGTAAACGGGAAGAGAAAGTGAATAAATATCACGAAATTAAAATAATTTATTGAATGATGCTGAAAATGTTTAACAAATTGTTTATCCTTTTTCTCTTTTTTTTAATTTGCCCGTTTTACTCATTGTTTAAAATGCTTTAGGTTTGCTGTGTCTGTAATAATTTATGTGGGACTAACATTACCAAAAAATAATTTGCTACCAGATGAAAATCCCCCAAGAGAGGATTAAAAGGTTGCTTCTAGATTGGATCAGAGGATGGGACGCTGTGCTGTGACTCAGGAGAGACACTTGCTGAGATTGGTTATTACATGCTTACATGCTCCAGAGATTATCATCAATTAGCAACACGGGCTGGATTATTATCATTATCCATTGAGGTTTTGACTCATGTGGAAGGTTGGTGGTTTGATTTCCAACTCGGAGCGCGACTGTTGATTGACTTTGCTAAAACGTGCTGAAAAAGCTGAAATTGAGTTGCTACTGAGACGACAAGCTATAAACCAAAAAGAGCAAAGCACTAGCTAAAAACGGCAAAAAGGGCTAAAAATCAGCAGAAGGCTGGTAAAAAGCTCAACTCTGAAGATAATAAACTAAAAGTAAAATGATAGCTAAAAGTGTCACAAGACTAGCTTAAAGTAGCGTAAAGATGGCTAAAATTAGTAGAACGGTAACTAAAAACTAAAAATGGCATAGGACAAAATAAATTATGAATGATCAAGTAGATTTAAATATAATGTTTTAGATGGAATTGCAGTAATCTGCATTAGTAAATGGAGTTAAATATTTTCAAAAACTTTGAAAATGACAAGAAGCTAAGGTAGTAGCGTCTCCTGAATGAGTAGAGCCTGTTGGAATATGAATGTCTAAAAGAGCACGACATGTGCAGAAGTAATTGGATCGCAAAAACAAAAAAAAGTACAGAAAAACGAAAACCATGGAAACAATCATGTGAACGTTTAAATGTATTTATTTATAAATGTATTCATTTATTAAAAACAAAACAATTTCATAAATAAGAAATACAATCAAAAGTAAAATGAAAGGCAGCAGAAGGAAGAAAAATATCTTATTATATCTGCCCCTTTTGTCTGTGCTCACACCATATTTAAAGACCAAACAGCCTGAGTAAAGAGCTCTCAACTTGTATTAGCCGTTTAAACAAACTCAGACATCTCGTTGTGGCTCGAGGGTCAGAGACGTAAACTTGAAGTAGAATATTATACCACACTGGACTGAATTAAACACAAGCATCAGCCTTATTGATAAAGTAGGGTGACTGCTGTGGCTTCCAGCCGAAGTTCAAAGATACAGCTGTTAGGTGAAGTGGTAACTACGTTTGCTGCAGGTGTGGCTGTAAATGTCTACCTGCGTCTGTGAGACCTTGACCTGTTCAGAAAGTAGCTCACCACTCAGCAAGTGTCTGCTCTGTCACTTTAAATTGAACTGTTTTGTCTATTTACTTAACATAAGATTTGTATTGTTAGTGGGAGTGGTGGTGCAGAGGTTAAAGGCGAGCCTGTGATCAGAAAGTCACCAGTTCTACCTCCAGATACAGATTACATCAAAATGTGGATGGGAAAGGTAAAGCACCCACACCTGCCTCCACTTGCATTTGCCCCATTCTGAGCCCTTGAGCAACCATTACTTTACCCGCTTCTTCCTTTTCGGATCACGGGGGTCACTGGTGCACATACTCAGCAGTCACTATGCGAGAGGACACCCTGGACAGGTCTCCAGTCCATCACAGGGGACACAGAGATAAACGAGACAAACAACCATTCACTCTCTCACGACAATTTAAAGTTACCAATCAGTCTAACATGCATGTTTTTGGTCTGTGGAAGGAAACTGGAGTACCTGGAGAAAACCCATACATGTAAACTCCACCCAGAAAGGTTCCCGGCCAGAATTCAATTCGACGAACTTCTCACTGAGAGGCAACAGCTCTACCCACTGAGCCATCGTGACGCCTTGTCATACTTCTGAGATTGAAATGTTTGGCTCTACCCGACCAAAAAAGAACATGTGCAAATACATACTGCGACCAAGTGAAGAGTCAACGAGTCTGCTGCTTCCTTAGATAAGAGAACTTTACTAAATGGCTTTTCTATGTATGTGAATGTTCCTGTAAAGAGTCCTGAGACAACTTTGTTGTGATATGGTGCTATATAAATACGCTGAATTGAATTGAGTACAAAAAAAAAACTTCATGAATGTCTGGCTTTTAAGAGTTGACTTAAAATTTCAGCAAAAATTACTACTTGGGGTGAAAATTACCTAAAGTGAAGTATTCACACTATTGTTGCTATAATGTTTTTATTGTAGCTTTTTTATTATTATTATATTTTATTTGTTTGCTTGCTGTGCTTCTATTTCTATAGTTTGATGGTATACACGTGAAGGTTTGAATTCCAGTCATGTTGGTTTCATTTGTATTCAATCTATGGACTAACCACTGAAAACAGGAAATGAATTATCATATAGTCTCTGGGGTGGGGTCATAAATTCAAATCAATAATTTTCAATGTACTTTCTCCTTTAAAGCAAACGTAACATTGAAAACATTCTTTAATACTCCATGATTACCTCTGTTTGCTAACGTAGCAGGCAGACATGCAGGATGTCCTTTACATTGTACATAAACGAGACCAAATGAGACGACAAGGAGGATTAGAAGATCGAAAATGCTGTTATGTAGAGGAAACCGATTTGAAATGGGTCGGTGAAAACACTAATACGATGCATATAAAATATACAGTACATGCTGTGGACTGACCTTTTCTGAGTGATGGACGCCTTCCTGTTGCAGACAACAGAGACTGTGCTGGGAGTCGCTCCCCTGCCGGGCTCCACAACCACATCCCACAGCAATGGGTCATTGGGTCGAGCTGCACTAAAGGCCAGGCCCGTTTTCACAGCAGCCCTGCAGTAAAAACGAAATGAAATGTAAGCTTCCATTTAGATACTTTTCTATGTACACTTTTATTATAAAGTAAATGTAAACATGACCATTGAGAGCAAGGGCAGAGTACAAATGGTACATTTTATACACGGTATTGGTTGTATTTGCTTTAAAAATACATAAGTTTGTTTTCCTTTAATTATGTGCGTCCTGCATTATTTTTAGTGTTTAGCTTTTCATGTTGTGTCTATGGGTGTGAAACACAATGAGATGTGTCGCAGGCTGCTCACCCTCTGAGAATCAGCAGGGGTGTTTAATTCCCATTAGTCCTCAGGGCCAACTGGGAATCCGTTATTTAGATCTCTGATTCAAACACACACACACAGCTCTGACGGGAGAGACGGGATGCTAATTATAAATAATGTGATTGGAACAGACAGTCTTGATAAACACTCACCAGTGGCTTCGACTGCCACGCCAAGAGTAGTTACATATCAATGGACTGATCATTCATTCTGACTGAAAATATTGAACACTACCATTTTCAGCCGCTAGTTGGCACTCGAGTTGTATGGCATGCCATTGTGTCATGTAATAGGTAAGAGTGGTTATTAATGACACAATCGGCTTGCCAAAGCCTGCCACCTTCGTCCAGCTTGCCTGGAGCAAAATCAGCTTCGTTTTACTGCGCTGTCCCGGCAAAATGCAGCTAATTTGACCATTGAAGTGTATTTTTTTTAAGTAAAAGTTCAACTGAGACACACCTTTGCTATAATGTCGAGCAAACAAATAATGGTTTTAGGTGGTTATCTTGTTAAATTTCGAAGAAATGCACAGCTTTCCTCCCTCAGAGCGTGCTCCCGTAGCACCGAGGCAGCAAGTACTTTTGAAAATGCAGCTCATTTTATGGTCAAAGTCCTTTTTATTAAGGAAAGGTTAGACTGAGACAAAACTTTGCTATAATTTTGAGCACACAAATAATTGTTTTTAAGTGTTATTCTTATTAAAGTCCTCCCATGCATGATCCCGCAGCCACCATTTGTTTGCCAATCGATTTCTGGCATAACACCGGCCCACATTTCCCAGTTTGGTCCACATGTCCATGTTGTCAGCGGTGACGCATAATAAATGCGATGTATACGGCGAAGCGACGTATACGGAGAAGCGACGTATACGGCGAAGCAATGTATTTATGGATTTTTCCACTTTATTATACATATTTGGACTGATGCGACTTATACGGTGGTGCGACGTGTATGGCGGAAAATACGGTAAACTGATCTTAAGATTTTATTTTTTATGCTTCATTTAAGAAAATTTGACTTATAACAAGGAAAGTGTCCCTAATATATAGAAAAACTTTACCTAAATTGAGTATTATGGATTTTTGAACAAGCTGATTTCAAGAATTATTTGCTTAATTTAGGATTTTGCATCTTAATTTAAGTTTTCACGTTAACAAAAGAAGCTTACCACAGGGCGAATTTTCTTTAAATGGAATTGATTCTTTCTTGATCGAGCTAACTAAATCTCAACCCTGAGAATAATAATTAACAAAGAATGGCTGAGAATAAGACACCATATGTTGAAAAAGAATACTAAAAATAAGAGATTTTATCTTAAATCAAGGCACCAGAAGTTAATGCTTAACTGTATTTCATGTTTACCATGTGCTTTGACTCTTGCAGCTTTTGTTCATAAGACCACATGTTATGTGAAGCATTATGACAGCCGTCATTTCAAACTTTAGTGTCATTACATTCATTTCTTAAACTGAGAAGTTTTTTAAATGGCCTTATGCTTTAAGTAAGAAACATTCTTATCTGGAATTTCAACCAAACCTATATTCATACCCTGTAACTGGTAAATAAAGCTCAAGACGAGCTGAAATATCTTATTAAGAAAAAGTTAGACGTCTTCTTAGAATAAGCTTAACTTTCATGTGCAAAACTTGCTTGTTAATAATATTTTTCATTTTAGACAAAAAATAAGAAATGTATATAAGCAAGTTTTTTTTTACTTTCTTGAAAATCATTTTTTGCAGTGTTGTCATGATATAAGAGCTAGAAGCAGTTTGTTTGCCTTCCTAATCAACACACATTTCCAACTATGCACATTTAGAAATATGAAAGCACTACTCGAATAACCAATAATGGAATAGCCACTGAAGCCGAGATGAAGCTTTCACACACATTTAAATTGCAGTGTTTGTCTTTGATACCGAATGACAACCTGACAATTCCACTAATGCTAGATGAAAATCTATTTCTGGATTTAAACCGAACTGCCAGAGGTGAAATCTCCACCTTGTAGCCTTGAAAATGTATTTAAAACAATAAATATGCAAACAGTTTTAAGCAAACGGAACAGAATACCAATCAGCATCTTGCATCGTGCAGCAAATCCTTATAAAAGAAATATTTGATCAAAGATTTCAGTACATTTATTTTTATAACAGTTTTTTCTTTCTGCTTGTCCAGATATGTGTCACAGTGACAGAAGCACATGATGACCCTGTCCCAGGGGGTCAAACCACTCCAGCAGCCTCATATTCAGTGTGGTGACGCAGCGACTCAATCTTCCTGGTTCAACAAGCTTTCGGTCCACAAAGCAGACACGAGCCTTCCTGCAGTGAAACCTCATTCCAGCCTTTTCTTTCCTCGCTCCTTGTCACTGTCGGACCTTTTGACGACAGGTGGGGAGCTGAATACAAACCGACCTTTCAGGTGAACAACTCTTCATGCTGTTTTACTAAACCCATTCAATTTCAAAGCTCCCAGGTTTTCATACAGGAAATTTTAACTTGCACTCAGTAAATGTAGTTATAGGAAGACTGTTAAACAGTCAGGCAGGGTGGTCTTAGAATACACAAACATTAACAGACCTAATCCTGGCAGTCAGCCCAGATCATCTCTACCGTATAGTTTTAACCTCTTGATTCAGTTTCAATCAGAGCAGCAGATTATCTGGCCTAGTCCTGCTGGAGTGGACTCAATCTTTGGCCAAAAAGTGAAGTAGGGATTTTTCTGAGGAATCGCTCACTTTGCCAAGCTCCTCAGAGTTTGGACTTAACTGCATGGACTCGGTCACCTCATTTTTTTCCAAATCCATTCTGGATATGGCAGCAAGCCAGAAATACAGAGGTAAAAATTACTGAACTATGTGGATGATTTTCAGCAGTAAGATTGGTAAATAAGAATTTGGGGAATTCCAGGTGAAACGATCACAAATCTTTGCAAATAGTCAAAGCAACAGCAGATGTTGAAGGGTCAGTGTCTCTCAATCAAATCCTGTGTTGCTCAACAATGCAGTTAAAAATCATGTCACCTGTCTGCGTTTGTGCTTGCATGACAAGCAGTTTATAGATAATGTCAGTATAATATTCACGAAAGCACTTGAAATCCTTTAACCCATAGAGTAAACTGTGTGCCCTTCGGAACAATACACACACATCCAAACATTTTTATCTAATGGCCTGCATCCTGGCCTGCAGGAGATTATAGGGTGCTCGCTATGCATGCAACATGATATCACTAAATCACTGGATTACAGAGAGAATTGTTGTTTTGAAAACAAATCAATTAGGCAGAGTAAAGACCACAAAAACCAATCTGCACTACGCAAATCAGTTTTTCAAAGAAGTTGAAATAATGTGGAAAAAAAAACAGTGACTGGGATTTAACGAGCTTTCACGAAAGGTTGAATCTTTCAGAAATAAAGGTGGGCAGGCAAGTACCATGGTGTAAACTGTAATCTAATAAAATCTGCAAATATTTTGTAATAAAACTGCATTAATTGGCTCAAAAACACTTATTCAACTGACCACAAAAAATGTGTGTTTTAAGTTTTACAATTTTGGGGAAATAAAAAACACTAAATCATTTTTGAGTTAAAGCCAGCCTCTTTGGAAACCCTTAGTTCAGCTTAAAAAAAAATAAAGAACTTGGAGAACTGATAATATGTTATCCAATAAACTTTACACTAAGTTCATGATGATGTTCGATTAAATCGCTAAAACTGGGTTCATCAACAATTTCCTCAAAGACGTATACATTTTTATTTGAAAAAAGTCAGAGCTAAAAAAACAAAAAGTAAAGTATAGGAACATTCCATTAAAACTGACACAACAAGAACATTTATTTTCTATGTTAATAATTTATATTCTTCACAGCATTCAACACATGCCAACTTATTTGTGTAAATTAAATTGCAGGCCAATTTGCTTTTGTTTTTTTATGTTTATAAACGGGATCATTGTACATTTTTGTGCAAAACTAAAATATAAAATTATGTATATTTGATGTGAATCATGAGAGACTGCGGAGATCACTTTTAATGTTGCAGCTGTTGTAACCAAGTGGAGGTTTAAGTTTTGTTAAGGCAGGGAACATGAGGTATCACAGCTTAATTGTTTTATTGTACTCTCCTAATCATTGCAGCTGCTCCAATTATTTTAAAACCTCTTGTTGGATCAAATGTGATATTCAAAACTGAATATTTGTACTTTTGTAAGCTTTTCATCATTTAAAAATTTGATGTAGTTTAGTTCTATTTTTTTCATCAATAGTAGAGTTTAAATGACAA